AAAAAAAAAAAAAAAAAAAAAAAAAAAAAAAAAAAAAAAAGGAAATTGATTTCACTTCATTTCATTTCAACAGTCAAGACTGTACAGTTGTATGCATTGAAGAGAGATGAACAAAGCAAACAAAGAGAAGAAAACAGAGTTTTTTAAGCCCTTTCAAAGAAAAGAAAAAAAAAAACCAAAAAGGGCTAAAAAAACAAAACAAAACCAACATTTTGAGAAATTAACCTTAACAACTCAAGAACAACAAGAACCATATGAATTTATTTGATTTTCAATAATCCCACAGCAATCCTTCGAACTTACCATAATCATCATTATCACAATCCTCCAAGCTCTGCACCCATGGCGGCGTGTACATCCAACACCCAGATTCCAATTCCTGCCCCGAGTCAAAAAACACTAACTCACCACCGCCGCCGCCGTCGAAACTCGTTCCGAGACTCGGTAGCTGGACGATCTCCGTGAGCTCCTCGGTGGCATCGGAGGAGGAGGAGGAGGAGGAGGAGGAGGAGGAGGAGGAGGAGGAGGAGGAGGAGGAGGAGGAGGAGGAGGAGGAGGAGGAGGAGGAGGAGGAGGAGGAGGAGGAGGAGGAGGAGGAGGAGGAGGAGGAGGAGGAGGAGGAGGAGGAGGAGGAGGAGGAGGAGGAGGAGGAGGAGGAGGAGGAGGAGGAGGAGGAGGAGGAGGAGGAGGAGGAGGAGGAGGAGGAGGAGGAGGAGGAGGAGGAGGAGGAGGAGGAGGAATTGTTGTTATTAGTATCAGTAGAGGAGAAATGATTCATATGAGCGGCTTTAGTGGCGGCGGCCTGAACGTCACGAGGGGCAAGGGAGACAGGGCGGGGAAGGAGGTGTACCAGGTCGGGGAAATTAAGGATTGCAGCTTTTCCTTTGATGCTTAAGGCGGCTACATCGTGGGCTCGTGCAGCCATTTCAGGGCTCGGGAAAGTGCCTAACCAAATGCGGGATTTCTTTCTTGGCTCACGAATTTCGGACACCCATTTCCCCCAATTCCTCATTCGGACTCCTCTGTAAAGCGGGTGCTTCGAGTCCTCTGTGTCTCTGATGCGTTTGAGTTTCTTGTTCGGCTCCGGAGATGAACACGTTGTGGCGTTTTCGTTTCTGCTCATTTTTTGAGACAGGGAGCGATAAAAAAGGGATTTGGATTTTGGATTTTGGATTTTGTTTGTTTTCGTGCTTTACAAAATCACACTTATAATAGAGAGAGAGCCTTGAAAAAGAAAATTCTTATACACATTGTGGGGCCCTCTAGAATGGAGAGAATGACTTCCAGTGAGTGTAGCGGTAACAATAATCGTTCGATGTGAATTCGAAACTATGGTTAACCATCTCGATACTTTGATGACTCCTCTCAAAACCGTGTCGGCTACATTATAACGGACGATTTGGTAGTGGTGTTCGTATCACTAGAGTATCCAATCAATCTCGACTTTTCAACCCAATTCATAAAAGTTGAGTTGGGTTATATTTTTTACTGAGTTTTTGGAATTTTTAGACGGGTCAATCTAACCAACACAAAAATAGGGTTAGAACCTAATCCCAACTCTACTCTACTTGTAAGATTATTATGAAAATAAAAAATATTTGACATTTGTAACGTCACTCATGCAATATGGTTGTTAACGTGACATATGTAGTAGATAAATATAATTTTTTAAAAAAATTAAAAAAAATGGACAATCCAACCGAACCCAATCCAACCCAAGAATAGAGAATTGGGTTAGGTTGGCTGCTAACTACTTGTTTTGCCACTGACCCAACCAACCTGAAATTTTGAGTTAATCCAAGAAGATTTATCAACTCAACCTGTGTACCTACATCGATAGTATCTAGTCTCAAATTAAATAATATATTTTTTCAAAATAGCGGATTTAATTTTTTATAATAAAAAAAAACTATGAATATTATAAAATGATAATACAAGTAAAATTAAGGCTCGAGATATTTGACCAATTATTTCATTATTTTTACTCATCATAATTGCCCTCATATTCATGACGCCTACCGACCTAGTTTTCATTTTTTTTTAATGATTTTTTGTTTTATATATATATATATATATATATATATTTAAAAAAAATCTAATCTTTATATTTAAAAATGCCTTATTTTAATTATAATATACCAATTGAAAATTATGTTTGAATTACTATATAAGCTTACAATTTTTAAGAATCATTTTCATATATACTTAATTTCTAAAATTATGCAATATAGAAAAATAAAAATTTAGGTTAAAAATAGTATTTTATGTTATTCCCGACTTAACTAAGAGTATTTTATTATTAAACTAGACTTGTGATGCTCTAATAGGCCGTAATAAATATATATTAATAATTAGAGTGGAGAATTTATTGTCTATCTTGTTGTCTCCAAAAAAGTTGGAGGATTTATGATAGTTTGCTTATGACATCACACCATTTAATTAGTGATATAATTAAGGTTGATAGATTGATGATCATGATCATTTGTGTAACAGTCCAAGTCCATCACTAATAGATATTGTCGCTTTAGCTCATTATGTATCGTCGCCAGTTTCATTGTTTTAAAATGTATCTTGTTACGCAACGAACAATGTTTGCTAGCGGTAGGCTTGAGTTCTTACAAATGCTATCAGAGCCAGAGACTAAGCGGTGTGCCAACAAGGACGCTCGGCCCTCAAGTGGGGTGGATCGTGAGATCGTACATCGATTGGAGAGGGAAACAAAGCAATCATTGTAAGGGTGTGGTAACTTCTCCCTATTAAACGTGTTTTAAAAGCATAAGGTTGATGGCGATATGTAACAAGCCAAAGCGAAATTTGTAATCTCCAATTCTTAAAGTGGTTGAACTCGAAACAAAATTACACGTTCTAGAAAAACGTTTAGACGATGCAAAAACCCACAAGTTTAGACCTAATTGCAATCGACCAACATATATTATTACCCGAGATTAAAAGATAGACTTATTATCTTTCCCGAACAGTATTGTGAATCACAAGGAAGAAAACGGGACGGATTATTGATGTTTGAAAATCTAAGAATGGGGTATGGTAGTAGTTGGATTGAACACCAAAGTTTTTCAGCCATACCAAACATTATTCATAACTCATTTTTGGTCCCCATTGAGTTATATATCAATCTTTTTAATGTCATTCATACGTTACCTTCTAACCTTCCTTCTACACCCTTTATATTTTTGTGGTGCTCGACTCGAGATGACACTATGGTAGGGCGCAGTGCTAGGGTGGGAGTAAAGAGACGTCGTTGTCTTCGTCTTCATTGTCCGGTTAATAGCCATCGTCTCTGTCGAGAATTTTATATTACATTTCATTTTTCATAGAACAAATAAAATCTTTTTTCTCCTTTCTCATTCCGGACTCCACTTCAAAGTTGAAAAAACGAGCTAACCGTGCAAACTTAAAATCAAATTATAGGAACCTCCCTAGTTTTTTTTTTTTTTTTAATATATAAAACTTCATAGAATTAATTATTATTCACTTCATACAGAAATTATTTTTTAATTTCTCAATTGAAATTTAATTTGGACCATAAAATGAAATAAATATATGTTTTTTTTAAATTAAAAAATTATGTTATTTTTAATTTTTAGTGACCGTTCATTATATCTGTGAATTTGCAGTTTTATATAGCTCTAGTTGAAACCATCCCACCATGTGTTTTTATGTGGTCGTGGTAGCGTGACATCTCGGGTCAACTTTGTACCGTCTTTATCATTCTCTCGAAAATAATAATACCCTTTTTTGAACTTAATGTTATAGGGTCATTTTGTCGAGACTATTTTATTTTCAACATTTTCAAATATATCATTGAGTCAGACACTAAATACGACAAAAGAGAATAATCAAAGTACAAAAATCATTCGAAATCACTAATTTTAGCAAAAAAAAAACCCATAATATATAGAGAAAAAAAATTAATTTATATCCATAAACTGAGCATTATATCCATTAAAACTGTATCAATTTAAACCTGAAACTTTTATAAGTCTCATTTAGATTTTGTTTGAAAAATATCGTGAGATATATAATTATTCCAATTAAATTTGTAAATTGTTATAAGTGAATCAAATTAGACCATTTATTTGTTCGTTTTGTATGCCATTTATGTGATAAACTTTTTTTTTTAATTAAAAAAAATTAAAAAAATGAGTAATAAAGATTATAATGTAAGCTTTGCTAATCAAATATAATGACTGGGCCTATGATTGTACAATAATGATAATTTAATATTTTTAAAAAAAAAATGATAATTTAATAATAAAGATCTCTTTTTATGAGTTCAAAATAATAAAGATTTTATCTTTTACTCATTATTCTAGAAGATGCTCAATCCCATTCATCTCTCTCTAACTATTATTATTATTATTATTATTATTATTATTATTTTTGAGAAAAACTTGTTATCTATTATATATAATAATTTAATGGTCAAATTACCAGTTTTGTATGTGAATTTTTTGGATTATATTTAATAGAATTTTGAAATAGGCTTAATAAAGTTTAATTTATTTAATTTTGTGTCTAATAAATCTGATATGAAATTAAAATGCTTTATATAATTATTGGCTTAGTTATAAAAAATACTCACATTCTTACAAAATTTACTCGACTTTTCACAAACATCATAAAACTATATTTAGAATATAAATTTATTAAAATATTAGATGAAAATAATTGAGAAAAATAATGATGTGACAAGAACCTAAAATAAAAGTTATTTTCATCAGTTTAAATAATTACTCCAATTCTTTTAGACAATGTATTACTTTCGACCTAGAACGTAGAACGTAGAACGTTTATGAAGTTTAAAAGTTTTACGATAGTTCAAAAGCTAGTCTCGTAATTTAACACCGTATGTGTATGTATGTGTATATATATATATATTCCACCCGAACAAGCTCACTTTAGCTGCCCAAACAGCAACAGCTCGAGGTCTGTGTTAATGAAATGGCCAAAGAAGATGACGTATTTGTCGTCATCCCATGTGAGAATGAGACCAAATTGTGGTGTTTTTCAGACCAAATTGGTCCTTAATTCATTGGGTGTTTTAAGGATTTTATGCAACTCTTTTATCTCTTTTTGTTTGTTTTTTTCTTTCGTCTTTTGTTTCTATAAAGCTTCTTTCACTCCTTTTCGTAGAGAAACTGTTATAGATTTTTAGTAATAAATTATTTACCATATGTATTTTTGATCTATTACAAGATCTATGCAATAAAACAATTCCATGAAGTCGTGAAGCGGGATGGTTGTTGATTTGGATAACGAGTTTTGAAACCTACCCCATATATTTTAATGGTACTATCTTAAAGAACGTAACATTTCCACGAGGTTGTAGGTTCAAATCTTTACCCGATAGGAATGTGAAACAGGGTGGGGGTTGATTTGAGTAACGGAATTTTAAATCCTACCCAAGTTTCAGCAAAAACGAAAAACGATCACGCTGATTAGAGAACGGGATAGTCGTTGACATGGATAAGACAATTCAAAGTCCATACGAGTTTTAATCGATTGTGGAACGGGTCGAATGTTGAGGTGAAGAAGGGGATTGAAGACTGGGGCAAACCACAATGAATTCGTATATGGTTAGGTACACCAAACCTCTCCCTCATCGCCTGCAAAATTCCTAAGTTCTCCAACTTTTGGATGTGTATTTAATAAGCTCAAAAGGACTAAAGGTTTGAAATACAGAACCAACACATGCAAGATATTTCATCTTTGCATTGCAGCAGTAGTTTCAGGCCACTTATTTGATCTTAAGATCCAGATGGGACTCAACTGATGAAGAAAGGTCAAAAACAAAGCTAGCCATAACATGCAGCTCAGTTCCCCCTGGTTCTGTCACATGCATTGCCTCCCTCCACAATCAACTAAATGAATCCAAGTGGGTTCCATGTCATTTCGTGTCGTGATGTTCTGTTCTGTTTCTGCGGTAAAACTAAGAAGAGTGGACATTGATTGTGAGATCCCAAATTGATTGGAGAGGGGGAACGTAAATTTTCTTATAAAAGTGTGGAAACCTTTCTCTAGTGGACGTGTCTTAAAACTATGAGGCTGACGCAATACGTGACGGGTTAAAGTGGACAATATCTGCTAGCGGTGGGTTTGGGCTGTTACAAATGGTATCAGAGCCAGGCACTGGGCGATGTGCCAGCGAGGACGATGACTCCGGATTGTGAAATCTCA